ACCACTAGGTTGTTCCCAAGTCCTCCCTTTTGTTCTGGCCCCTTTCACTTCATCTGCCTGAAACTCTGGGTTTGTTAGAGTGAGACGCTCTACTGCCATCTGTTGGGAAATGGTCCTTGCAAACTTTTCTATGATATCTGGCAGCCCTGAGCTCTTGTGCACAGTGCACAGCCTGTACTGCCACAGTCAGCCTTCCCTAGCCACAAGAATGCACTGTGTTTTAAGAAATGGTCTTTTGGAGAAGACATACACATCCGTGGCAACTCAGCCTCCCAGGCACATAATCATCAAAGGGTGATGATGACTGGGGTCAGAACTCTTAGACCACTGGGTGCTGGAGGGGAGAGTGGAGTTTACAAGACTGTTTCTGCATGAAGAAGAGAGCTTGGTCCAGGTGTCTGCAGGAAAGGACAGGGCCCTTACTTTGTTGGTGGCAAGAATGACACCCATGATGATATGAGCATGTGAGCGTCATCATTGAATTGGCTGCTCTAAACCCTTTGACTACAGCCTGGCATGGGCATGAGAAGTGAGCCATCTTGTTTTCATTTTAGAATGACTAAGAGCTCTAGTTCTGGAGCTGGGGAAATGGCTCGGTGGTTAAGAGCACTTGTTCTTCCAGAAGATTCAAGTTCAGTCCTGAGCACCCATGTTAGGTGGCTTACAACCATCTGTAACTCCAGCTCTAGGTATCTGACGCCCTCTTGTGGCCTCTGCAAGTACCTGTGGTGATGTGCACATAGATATGTGATATCTATGCCAGATATCATAGAAAAGTTTGCAAGGACCATTTCCCAACAGATGGCAGTAGAGCGTCTCACTAACAAACACAGATACACACACAGACACACAGACACACACACACAGACACACACACACACACACACACACACACACACACACACACAGTGACCCAGGGGCAGCATGTCACAAGTCTCCTTGATTGGTGCCACAGTCACCTGGGGTTACCAATGGACTCGTTACACCATCAACAGCCAGAAGTGTAGGCTAAAGACACTTTCTCCCTATATCCATGTTTAGTTTCATGATTTCATATCTGTTGCTGTGATAAAAGATCCCACCACCCCACCCCAAAAAAGCAACTTAGGGGAAAAGGGTTTATTTCAGCTCATAGTCTGGGTTATGGTCCGTTACTGTAGGGAAATGAAGGCTGCAGGAATCTGAACCAGCCAGTCACACAGCATCCATAGTCAAAAGCAGAGAAATGAATGTGTACTTGCTTGTGCTCAGCTCACTCTCTGCACCTGTTCAGTCCAGGATCTCATGCCTAGGAAATGGTCCTGCCCACAGTGGGCTGGGTCTTCTCTTATCAGTTAACAGTGAAAACAAACCCTCACAAACCAACCTGATCCAGACAATCTCTCACTGAGATGCTCTTCTCAGGTGATTCTAGGTTGAATCAAGTTGACAGAATGAACCATAACAGGTTTTCTCAGACTCTTACAAGCTGTCCTTCAAAGACCTCTGTTCCTTCCCTGCCATTTAAACTGCACAGCCTTGTGGTACCTGCTGGAATTGAGTAACAGGTTTCCTTGACAATGTGGGGGGACAGTCTCATCTGGTGCTAGGCTGGTAGAGCCCCCTTCAATGGAGAAGATGTGTGGTGTCACAAGAAAATCTCTGATCTCCCCCTGCGTCTCTGCCTTGCAGGAGCTCATGGCCATCCATAACTCTCACTCCAGGAAATCCCATGCTCTCTTCTGGCCTGACCTATTAAGGCACTGCATGCACGTGGCACATAAGCATGCACATGGAAAAAGCATTCATGCACATAAAAATAATTTTTTTTAAAGAAGGGTCTCTCCACACCAATCAGTTTAATCAAGATCACCACCCATAAGGCATGCTCAGAGGCCCATCTCTGAGATGATTCTAGATTCTGTCAGGTTGAAAATTGGTCTTAACCATCACAGGCTACAAAAAAATTGCTTAAACACTGGACAGCAACAATTGTAATGGCTGTGTGAGATACGCCAGACACTCATCTTACCAAGTGTGAAGAGCCACAGACCAAATGCAACTTCAGGGCAGGGGTAGAAGAAAAAGGCTGAAAAGACTGCCACCCTGAATCAGGATGCAGAGGCAAGAGGAATCCATGCTGTTGACGCTAGCATGGAGTTCATGTATCATGTATTCGTGTATCACTTATCCATGTATCACGAATGCTACGGACATGAGAGGAAGTTCTAGATGGCAGCAAGGCAAAATGAGACACACACCCCATACTTTAAAAAGTTTGTCATGTGAGAGCAATATTTGTCAAACAGGCCCACAGGTCACTGATATCTCTCAGGACGTTAATAAGTCTGTATAAGGACTGAGGATGTAACTTAGCTGGTAAAGTGCTTGCCACATGAGCACAAGGACCTGTGTCCACCCTCAGCACCTGTAGAAAGCCAGGCGTGGTGGCCTGTGCTTGCAATGCCAGTACTGGGGAGGTAGAGCCAGGCAGACCCATGGAGCTCACTGGCCAGGCTGGCCTACCCAGCAGGGTCCAGGCCACTGAGAGACTTGTTTCAAAAATCAAAGTGGAGAGCTCCTGCCTGATTCTGACTTCCACACACAAAGACATATATACATTATACAGTTACACACACAAACACATAAATGCATACACACATAAATACACATGCACATAAACACATTTACACATAAGCACTATACACATAAACAAACACATATATACATAAACACATACACACGTAAACACACATAAACATACACACATGCCAGGTGGTAGTGGTGCATGCCTTTAATCCCAGCACTCAGGAGGCAGAGGCAGACTGATTTCTGTGAGTTCGAGGCCAGTCTGGTCTACAGAGTGAGTTCCAAGACAGCCAGGGCTGCACAGAGAAATCCTATCTCAACAACAAAAAGCATAAACACACAAACATATAAACACATATATACATAAACACACATGCAGGAGGGAAAACAAGATGGTGGCTTATTCCATCAGTGGTCAAATCCTTTCCTGAACTACGGTCTGTCACAAATGCCGAGAAGAATGCAGCTTTTCCAAACTTCACTGACCATGACATATTTATCTTTTTCTTCACTCAAAAAAAAAAAAAAAACTTTGAAAAACACCCAGTAACTGGTGCTTCCCAGCACTCAGTTTGGGGACACTTTCCCAAACGCCTGTGCAATGAACAGCTTGCTGGGAGAGAGACCACAGAGAGTCAGTGTGGCTTGAAAAGTGGATCCAAGTGGATCTTTGCTTGCCAGTATGTTTTCTAAACTCTTTCTCCTCGCTTCCCCAGGCCTGGGAAGAGCTGGGTCCTGCCTCCTCATAGCTCAGGCTGCCTGGGAATGCAAAGCCATCCTAACCCAGAGCCTCTCCTGTCTTTCAGATGGGCTTCTTCCGCAGACGGTACAAAGAAATCATCGAAGCAGAGAAAAACCGGAAAGAGAATGAAGATGGTTGGGACTGGGTCCAGAAAAACCAGTGACCCGCCGTGCCAGTCATGATGCCCTCATGTTCCCGTCACCAGCCTGTGGTCCCTGATCTTTGTATCTTCCATATTTGGAAGAAAGAAGTCTTCTCCAGATTTTCCGGAGGCCTCACTGATGCTGCCCTCTTCTCATCCTGTCCAGCCCGGCGCCGACCTGAGATGGCCACCTCCAGCCAGGTCACACGACTGGGGCCACCACCACTCCTCTTTACAAACAAACTCAGAACTTCGGAAAGATGAGCTACAGAGCAAAGCAATATTTATGGATACAACAATGCGTGGTCAACCCTCAGGGGAAAACTGTTACCTAAAAGTATTTTTTATAAATGTAAGCCTTTTATATTGATTGTGTCTTTATATTTGTATCAATGTTTTATTATTTCTATTAAATAGTTCTATAATTCACTCAAGCACTGAAATCTTGGAAATACATGTACCTGCATACAAATTTTAAAGAAGAAAGAACTTATTGTACTTTGGAACTTGCTGTTTAAAAAAAATGCAGATAAAATAAACTAAAGAAACCTCATGAAATGAATCCGCCAAGCTGGGAGTACTGCAAAAGCACTGTGGATATGGCAAGACCATCTAAGACATTTCCCATTGTCATCACCTGGAGTCGGGGCAGTGCGCTTGAAGAAGTATCAGTGCTTTCTCTTAGGGACCTCTCATTGGGAGATTGCCAGCAGGAGCTGAGATGAAAAGCCTGGTTTCCTCATCCTCTGCACCACCCTGATGCATTCAGCAAGCACCTCACCCTCCTCCCTCTGGAGTCAGCAAGCGCTGGATAGACAACTGGTCAACCTCAGAATAGCATCTCATCCCAGACACCATGCACCAGGGTTCAAAACCCAGGACTGAAGCTGTGCTCTCTCAGCAAAGATGTGTCTGTGTGTATAAGGTGTTACCTTGTGATGTAACTTCAGTTCAAGGGTCTCCATTTCCTCTGTCACTCTTGCTGTCCCCAAATGGTAATGTTGCAGGTTCCTTCCCAGAGAGGATAGCCCCACTTGATTTATGTTTAGGTCTTAGGTGGGATTCTTAAGAGTCAAAGCCTGGAATAAGGACTTGGGTGCAAGTAAGTTATTGAGGAAGTCTTCTCAGAAGCTAGCAGTGAGGAAGTGGAGAATACAATACAGGAAAGTAGGGGAAGCCAAGCAACAATGTCACTTTAGGGGATAATCCAAAAAGTGACTTCAGCCCAATTGGATCTGGTCACCAAGTCGGGCTCAGAGTGCCCTGACCAGATGTCAGGAAGCTGGGCTTTTGTGGTTCCACACCTGCAGGGGATGTAAACTTTCTGCCCTTGGTTCTTGCAGACAAGATGACTCTGTCTCCTAGAGGGCAGCTTCAGAGGCAACTGGGGAGACCCAGAAATCATGCAAAGAACTCTGAGCCAAGTGCTTTGGTGTTGCCCTGCCCCAAACAAGTGAATGCTATCTTCAGCTTTGGGAAACCCAAAAAGCCATAAGTCAAAGCTGGTCCTAGAAGTCAAGGGATGGAAACAGGGGTCACTGCAAGGCTGGGGCAGCCCAGGAAACCAGTGCACACCAGTTCATAAGTTTTATCAAAAGAAATAAGAAAAGGAGTCTTGGCTTTACCAGCCTTGTACAGCCTGAACTGTGGGCCATGCAGGATGCTGGTGATCCCCAGAGAACACAGCCTCGGTAGTAAGCCACCTCACAGTAGGTGTGGAGTGTGGACTCTCCGTGAACCTCACGTGCAGCTGTGCCGTGATGATGACGTGTGGATCGGATCATGGTTTCCTTTAATAAATCATTTGAGATTCTTAGGTGGTGAGACCATAACAGCACCACTGCAATTTTAGCCAAATGCATCTGTCCCCAATGGCCTGCTTCCTGCAAAGGGTGTGGCTTCATCGGGGTCAGTGGAGAATGGTGACTCGTATCCACAGTTCAGTTAGCCAGCAGAGCCACACCTGAGGAAGTGTGGACAGGAAGGAAGGGCAGACTCAGCTGGCGTCCGGCCGCTTGTGCCCTGCCATGAATGGTACCCCCTCATGAGTAGTCACGTGTTAATAAGGCACTGCAATTCCATAAAGCAGATTTTAAGAAAACTGCATGGTAGGTAGCCCCAGAAGCAAATCCTAACAGCCACCGTAGGAAGCGTCTTTGCCTGTCTGCTAATGCTGAGTGCCAGGTGCATGAGAGGCAGGGTGTGGCTGCTCGGCAGAGGAGTGGAGCACTGTCTGGAATTCTCTCGCCTGAGTAGTTCAGCGTCTTCACTGCAGCCTTCTTCGGGTGATCAGGGCAAGTGGGCAGGCGTGTAGATATGTCTGTGTTCTCTCTCTAGAACAGTCTTTTAAAAACCCAGTGCGTGGCCCATTGTACCCCTTTGCCTCTGAACTCTGTGGAAGCCAGGCAGACATTCTCATGGGCACTATCATTTGTCTGCTTCCGTTTTTTAGCTGTGTCTTCCATGGTTTTAACCAGCTCTCTGGACTGGACTGAAATGTTCTGTTTTGTTTGTTGTTTTTAATATGAAAAAGGACTCTTGCAAAAAAAAAATTGACTAATGCAATGCCCCTTAAAAATTGACCCCATTCTTCTCAGTTTACGTAGGACTCAAGAAAAGTATGGAGCATCCCTGAGGTGAGTCCCTGCCACAAAGAGGCTGCAAAATTTAGAAGCAGGAGAACACCAGTGAGGGGACCTGAGTAGCTGGCTTTGTGCCAGCTGACCAACACACCCTGTGCCCCCCATCACCATGGTCTCAGGCAGTGCCCAGAGGTTTGGCAGGCTGGGTGAAGTCCCCCACACCAAATACTGTGTAACCTACCTTGTTAAAGGCAAGATATTCTCAACAAACAGCAGCCACGCTCCTGGGACACCCCAGTGACCAGTGGTGCTGTGTGGTGTGCTGTCTGTTAAGCCCCAGTGTGGAAGGTGTGGACATGTTATTCACATTTATTTAAGGTTAGGATAGCTTTATACCTGATATACCTAGGAAAGGAGTGCCCAGTTTCCACTCCCTGAGATTTAGAGGTGCTACCAAACATTGTCATTGGAGGGATGGACAGCTCAGTAACAGAATGTTTGCCTGACACACACGAAGCTCTGGGAGAACCATCCCTCTAGTGAACAAAAGGCAGAAACTGAGTATCATTTCACAGCTCCTCGGGAACACAGAATTTTCATAGATGTGGGTTTTTAATACATGGAGTAGTAAGATGCATGACAGGGAGTATTTTCTAAGATAATGGCTGAAGGGAGGGCTGCAGAGCCGACTGGGGCCTAGTGAGCCTTCTGGAATGTCTTCTGAGTCTTCAGCACACGAAGGGAATGCTGAGTGCCTCTCCCGATGTGGTGCGATGCTCTCCACAGCACACTGACCTGGATTTGGCTGCCGTTCAGTTTGCTTTGTTTGGTGCTGATGTTGTGCACAGTGTGGCTGGCAGTGTGAGTTTAAGCTTTCTGAGTGGTTTGTTGCATGGCAGGCGCCTCCCTCCCCCGCTCTCTGCACGTCTGCAGCTTTACTGAGGTATCCACACGGCGCACACTGCCCGAGAGGATTTGGGGTGGGAGGGCGGTCCCTCCTCACTGTGCCGTGTGTCTGCAGTCACTTCTGATTCACTTGCACTGTTTGGAAAATGCCAGGTTTACAAAAATATGTTTGGAATAAAAAAAAATGGCTTCAAATGACCCCAGTGTCTCCGACTGTCGTTTCTTTCCTGCTAAGAACTTTGTAAGGTTCTGAAGAGGGAATTCCAATACGATATGATACAGGCATTGAAGAGCACACACACCAAGAGCTGCTCACTCCCACAGGAGCACCCCACAGGATGGGGCTGGGCCTGTCCCCGAGCCCATAATTTGGATACCACCTTCTCTGTGCATTGTCTGCCTGTCTGGGGATGTGCCTGGTGTCTATCTGTTTAGGGAGAAATACACCCCAATGAAATGGGTGGATTTCTCATCTCAAGAAGACCTCTTTCACATGTATCTGTAAGTCATTGAGCATTTGCCCAGGCTAGCCTCAAACTTGCTGTGTAGCCGAGGATGGCCAAACTTCTAATCCTCCTGCCTCTGTCTCTGAAGTACTAGGATTACAGGTGTGTGCCTCCACATCTGGTTTATTTGGGAGTAGGAATCAAACCCATTCCAAGCAAGTATTCCACCAAGAGCACTAACATGCCCAGCCCCATGGAAGCTTTCTGCTGGTTCTCACACACATCTACAGACACTGCATTTTCTTAGATTCTAAATATCCATTTGCTAGTTGCATCCTCATTCTTATCCCAAATACTGTTCATTTGTGGATTCCCCCCCCCTAGATATTACAAACAAAGATCTACCTAATATATTGCTCGTTTTCAAGAATAAGCCTTTGGCTCTGTGGAGTCCACTGGGCTTTGCTTCCTAGTTCATCAGTTCCAGCTTCCACTTGTATGAAAATGTCCTCTACAGACTTCATTGTTAAATTCACACATGGGCTGCAGAGCTGGCTCAGCAGTTAAGCTCACTGGCTGCTCTTGTTTTCCTCTCGTGATTCCCATTCATGGGCGTGTGTTCTTCATTAGTCGTTTATTTACTGTTGGCCGGTGGTTGGTGACTTTCCTTAGAAAGTTCTTTGTGGTCATTCTTTGAAGCCTAGGATGATGTGTGCTCCTGCAGAGAGCACTTGCCTTCACCTCTGCCAAGCTCCCATCTGGGGTCGGGCCTTGGGGGTTAATGGACCACCCATGGAATATGCACAGCAAATGCACTCCGAGGCCAGCCTGCGGCTTCCTCTCCAGGGTGGGATTCCATCAGCATCCTTGCATTGCCCTGTGCTCTGCTCAGCACCATGGCAGCTTTCCACAAAGTCTCAATCCTCGAGAGTACTGGTCCGAGGTAGCATTCCTGTTCCTGATTGGCTCTTCCATCTGCCCATTCATTCATGATTAGGTATTTGGCCATATATCCCGGACTGGCCTGGGATCTGGAATCCTCCTGTCTTACTTACCCTGCCACTTTATAGGTCACTGAGTCCTACAGGGCCCTGAAAACTGAACTTCCATTTCGTTAGCTTTGGCATAGGCTTAGGACAGAAGTGAGAGAATCTCTTCCCATGAGCCTCTCTCCACTGCCACCTTCATTCAGGCTTTGGCTTGGGAATTTCCAACTCCTGTTATCTCTTCAGTGGTTGGTTGAGACAGTGTTTCACTGTGTAGCCCTGGCTGTCCTGGAACTCACTCTGTAGACCAGGCCGGCCTCGAACTCACAGAGATCCGCCTGCCTCTGCCTCCCAGTGCTGGGATTAAAGGTGTGCATCACCACTCCAGGCTTCTTCAGTGGTCTTAATATGTTCTTAAAACATTTTATTCTTAGGACAACAAGACAGCTCAGCAGGTAAAGGCACCCGCTGCTAAGCCTGCCAATCTGAGTTCTGTCCTCAGGACCCTCATGGCAGAAGGAGAAAACTAACTCTTGAAAGTTATCCTCTGACTCCCACACATGCACCCTGATATGTACACATCCCTAGCATGTAAATGGATATATAAATAATGATTCAAATGTTATTCTTTGTTCTAAACATGCTTTTCTATGTTGTTGAGAGGACTAGTCTACATGTATTCCAGGTCAGAAGCCTGAATATCTTCTCAAGTACCCAGCCTCCTCATCTGCATGGAGATATTTGTAACATTTTTACTATAAGAAACAAAAACTTTAAGTGTGCAGAAAAGTTGAAGTAATTTATCATAAACACTCAAGGACTTGACATCTAGATTTACATCAGCATTTTATTACATTTGGTTTGTCATGTGTCTACCAATCTTTCCATGAACTCATGTTTTATTTTTATGATATTCAAAGTAAGTTATAGATGCAACACATTTTCTTCTGGATGTCAGTAGATTTTTCTGCTTGTTTGATCTGTAATCATATTTTTCATCTATGATGCCTATTTGATTCTTTTGAAATCTGCTTGGGTGATGTTAATTTTTTTTTTACCCATAAATACTTCCTTATCATTCACTTCTTTAATCATATTAAGCTTAACTGTTTCATGATGTACATGCCACCTCCAAGAGCTGAGGTCTCTGGGGATGTTCCCATTCTCTCTGCTGTGTCTCAGCCTGTTTCTATTTCCCTTCATATGTTTGAAGTATAAGCTGCTCATCTTCCTTAGGACAGATCCGTGGGAATTTGAAATAGTTTCCCCATAGAACGCTTCCATTTGATTTGCAGAGTGTCCAAGAGACTCAGTAACTGCTACCATTTGAACTGAAATCCTTGAGGCTCTCAGGCCACTCAGGTGGTGAGCAGCCAGACTCTCCGAGGGGCTTCTCCTGCCCAGGGCCAGAGTTCTAGTTCAGCATGTGCTTGGTGTCCTTAGCCAGGGGTGGGGGGTGGGGGGAATGGGGAGGCGTTGTAGCAGGAGGTGATCTCTGACTTCTCCTTTCCTGTCTCAGACTGTCTTTAGAAAGGAGACCGTCCATTCAGATTCCTCTCCTTGCCAGGGTGAGACTCCAGACTGTCTCAGGTGCCCTCTCTCCCTCGTGACACAGACACTGACACCCAAGGTTGCCTGGTTTGTGTCCAGAGCGGAACTGGACCTCAGCCATCTGCTTGCCCCCTCACCGGGGCTCCACTGTAGCTCAGTGCTTGCCTTACTGACCTTCAGATTCTCGCCACTTCATCAGTAATTTATGGCAAACAAATACAGTGTTTCAACTCTTTAAAAATTGCATTTGTTTACTTATTTCTTTAGTGTCTGTGTGTACATTCTACATGTGAACTAGCAGGCATGTATACCACAGCATACATGTGGAAGCCATCAGTCAATTCATAGAAAATTTTCTCTCCTTCTACCGTGTGGGTCCCAGGAATTGAACTCAGGTCGCCAGGCTTGGTGGTAAGCCCCTTTACCCGCTGAGCCATCTCACCAGCCCTCAGCGTTTCATCTCTCACTTTCCAATATTTGTCTATATATCTGAAATTTGTTATGTTTCATCTAATTGGGGGCTGCAGAGATTGCTCAGAAGGTCAAGAGTGTGGACTGCTCTTGCAGAAGACCTGACTGTGGTTCCCAACACCCACATTGGAAGACTCACAACTGCCTGTAATTCCAGCCCTGGGGGACTCCATGCCTTCTTCTGACCTCATACACACACACACACACACACACACACACACACACACACACACTAACATTTTTTAAATCTTTTTTGTTTGTTTGTTTATTTGTTTTTGGTTTTTGAGACAGGGTCTTATTATGTAGCCCTGGCTGGCCTTGAACTCTGAATGTAGATCAGGTTGACCTCCAACTAATAGAAATCTGCCTGCTTCTGCCTCCCAACTGCTAGGATTAAAAGCGTGAGCCACCTTGCCCATCCAGAAAATTAAATCCTTAAGAAAGGAAAGAAAAGAAAAGAAAGGAAAAGAAAAGAGAAAAAGAAGGGAGGGAGGGACGGACAGACGGAGGGACAGAGGGAGGAGGGGAAGAAGACCAGGAAGGACCCTGCCTGCGCTGCAGAGGAGTTAGAATGCTTACCATGCAAGTGAGAGGACCGCAGTTTGCATCCCCAGACCCCACAGAAATTCCAGGACTCAGAAGGCAGTGACAGCGTGGCCCTGGAGCATGCTGACGAGGGAGACTAGTCTATGCTGATGAACTCTAGCTCGAACGGAGAGACCTTGCCTCGATGAATAAGGTGGAGAGCAAGCAGGGTAAACTCTTGATGTCAACCTGGGGCCTCTACACATATGTGCACTCACACACACGAGAACGTAAGTGCACACCATGCATGCACACCACACATGCAATAATAGTAAAAACAATGGAAGGAAAATATAGTCATTTCTAGCATCAAGATCAAGTGATTCTCATCTACTCTATCATGAATGTACCAGTGAGGCTGAAGAGATTGCTCAGTGGTTAAAGCACTGGCTGCTCCTACAGAGGACCTGGGGTTCAGTTCCCCAAACCCACATAGTGGCTCTCAATCATCCATAACTCCAGGACCAGGGGACCTGACACTCTTTTGTGACCTCCACAGGTACCAGACACTCACATGGTACACAGACATACGTGCAGACAAAACACCCATACATGTAAATAAATGAGTGAAGTTTACTGAGTATAGGGGATTCTGAGAGGCAGATGTAGTCACACACACACCTGTGTCACCCAGAAGTCAGGAAGCTGAGGCAAGAGGATAGCCGTGAGTTTGAGACCAATCTGGGCTACATAACACACACACACACACACACACACACACACACACACACACACACGGAGTGGGGAGCCTGAAAACAAGATGTCTAGCATGTGCACATCAGTGTAACACTTATGAATGCTATCTACTCCCTCTGTTTTCTGTTCACTAAAGATGCCTTTTGGTTGAGGGTTTTATTAATGCTGCTGCTGCAGACGTATCTGTTGGCAATCACTCTATGTAGTAAAACTTCTTTTATGTTAAGCTTGTGACTAACTGTGTGCTAAAACTTGTGTGAGCCAAGGAGCTGATGGAAAGAAGGGGACCGACTTGAATTGCACTGGTGTGTTGAACGTCAGCAGCGTTATTACTTGGGTGGGTTATGATGCTGCTCATGTAGCTACAGCAAATATTACAAGCCCTGACTTCCTGGAAATGGAGGGTGGAATCTGAAAAAGACCCATAACGCAGACATGATCTGTCCCTGTGAGGCTAAGAAAG